ACTACCTTCCATAATGACAAGGATACCATCCATTGCAGTAACAAAAATATCGACAATAGACTACCTTCCATAATGACAAGGCTACCATCCATTAGAGTAACAAAAATATGGAAAATAGACTACCTTTCATAATGAGTAGGGTACCATCCATTAGAGTAAAAAAAATAACAACGATAGACTACCTTCCATAATGACAAGGCTACCATCCATTGCAGTAACAAAAATATCGACAACAGACTACCTTCCATAATGACAAGGCTACCATCCATTAGAGTAACAAAAATATGGAAAATATACTACCTTCCATAATGAGAAGGGTACCATCCATTAGAGTAAAAAAAATACCAACAAGAGACTAGCTTCCATATTGACAACGCTACAATCCATTGGAGTAACAAAAATCTCGACAACGGACTATATTCCATAATGACAAGGCTACCATCCATTGGAGTAACAAAAATCTCGAAAACAGACTTCCTTCCATAATGACTAGGCTACCATCCATTGGAATAACAAAAATCTCGACAATAAAATACCTTCCATAATGACAAGGAAACCATCCAATGGAGTAACAAAAATGTCGACAACAACATACCTTCCATAATGACAAGGCTACCATACATTGTAGTAATAAAAATCTGAACAACAGACTACCTTCCACAATGACAAGGCTACCATCCATTGGATTAACAAAAATCTCGACAACAGACTACCTTCCATAATGACAAGGGCACCATCCATTGTAGTAACAAAAATATCCACAAGAGTCAAACTTCCATAATGACAAGGCTACCATCCATTGGAGTAATAAAAATCTGAACAACAGACTACCTTCCATAATGACAAGGCTACCATCCATTGGATTATCAAAATCTCGACAATAGACTACCTTCCATAATGAAAAGGGCACCATCTATTGGAGTAACAAAAATATCCACAAGAGACAACCTTCCATAATGACAAGGCTACCATCCATTGGAGTAAAAAAAATCTCGACAACAGACTACCTTCCATAATGACAAAGCTACAATCCGTTGTAGTAACAAAAATCTCATCAACAGACTACCTTTCATAATGACAAGGCTACCATCCATTGGAGTAACAAAGATATTCACAACGGACTACCTTTCATAATTACAAGGATACCATCCATTGGAATAACAAAAATCTCGACAATAGACTACCTTCCACAAAGACAAGGCTACCATCCATGGGAATAACAAAAATATTGACAACACACTACCTTCAATAATGACAAGGCTACCATCTAATGGAGTAACAAAAATCTCGAGAACAGACTACCTTCCATATTGAGAAGTCTACAATCCATTGGAGTAAAAAAATCTGAACAACAGACTACTGTCGTTAATGACAAGGCTACCATCCATTGGAGTAATAGAAATAACAATGATAGACTACATTCCTTAATGACAAGGCTACCATCCATTGCAGTAACAAAAAATCGACAACAGACTACCTTCCATAATGACAAGGCTACCATCCATTGCAGTAACAAAAATATCGACAATAGACTACCTTCCATAATGACAAGGCTACCATCCATTAGAGTAACAAAAATATGGAAAATAGACTACCTTCCATAATGAGTAGGGTACCATCCATTAGAGTAAAAAAAATATAAACGATAGACTACCTTCCATAATGACAAGGCTACCATCCATTGCAGTAACAAAAATATCGACAACAGACTACCTTCCATAATGACAAGGCTACCATCCATTAGAGTAACAAAAATATGGAAAATATACTACCTTCCATAATGAGAAGGGTACCATCCATTAGAGTAAAAAAAATACCAACAAGAGACTAGCTTCCATATTGACAACGCTACAATCCATTGGAGTAACAAAAATCTCGACAAAGGACTATATTCCATAATGACAAGGCTACCATCCATTGGAGTAACAAAAATCTCGAAAACAGACTTCCTTCCATAATGACTAGGCTACCATCCATTGGAATAACAAAAATCTCGACAATAAAATACCTTCCATAATGACAAGGAAACCATCCAATGGAGTAACAAAAATGTCGACAACAACATACCTTCCATAATGACAAGGCTACCATACATTGTAGTAATAAAAATCTGAACAACAGACTACCTTCCACAATGACAAGGCTACAATCCATTGAATTAACAAAAATCTCGACAACAGACTACCTTCCATAATGACAAGGGCACCATCCATTGTAGTAACAAAAATATCCACAAGAGTCAAACTTCCATAATGACAAGGCTACCATCCATTGGAGTAATAAAAATCTGAACAACAGACTACCTTCCATAATGACAAGGCTACCATCCATTGGATTATCAAAATCTCGACAATAGACTACCTTCCATAATGAAAAGGGCACCATATATTGGAGTAACAAAAATATCCACAAGAGACAACCTTCCATAATGACAAGGCTACCATCCATTGGAGTAAAAAAAATCTCGACAACAAACTACCTTCCATAATGACAAGGCTAACATACAATGTAGTAACAAAATCTCGACAACAGACTACCTTCCATAATGACAAAGCTACAATCCGTTGTAGTAACAAAAATCTCGTCAACATACTACCTTTCATAATGACAAGGCTACCATCCATTGGAGTAACAAAGATATCCACAACGGACTACCTTTCATAATTACAAGGATACCATCCATTGGAATAACAAAAATCTCGACAATAGACTACCTTCCACAATGACAAGGCTACCATCCATGGGAATAACAAAAATATTGACAACACACTACCTTCAATAATGACAAGGCTACCATCTAATGGAGTAACAAAAATCTCGAGAACAGACTACCTTCCATATTGACAAGTCTACCATCCATTGGAGTAAAAGAAATCTGAACAACAGACTACTGTCCTTAATGACAAGGCTACCATCCATTGGAGTAATAGAAATAACAATGATAGACTACCTTCCATAATGACAAGGCTACCATTCATTGCAGTAACAAAAATATCGACAATAGACTACCTTCCATAATGACAAGGCTACCATCCATTAGAGTAACAATAATATGGAAAATAGACTACCTTCCATAATGAGTAGGGTACCATCCATTAGAGTAAAAAAAATAACAACGATAGACTACCTTCCATAATGACAAGGCTACCATCCATTGCAGTAACAAAAATATCGACAACAGACTACCTTCCATAATGACAAGGCTACCATCCATTGCAGTAACAAAAATATCGACAATAGACTACCTTCCATAATGACAAGGCTACCATCCATTAGAGTAACAAAAATATGGAAAATAGACTACCTTCCATAATGAGTAGGGTACCATCCATTAGAGTAAAAAAAATATAAACGATAGACTACCTTCCATAATGACAAGGCTACCATCAATTGTAGTAACAAAAATATCGACAACAGACTACCTTCCATAATGACAAGGCTACCATCCATTAGAGTAACAAAAATATGGAAAATATACTACCTTCCATAATGAGAAGGGTACCATCCATTAGAGTAAAAAAAATACCAACAAGAGACTAGCTTCCATATTGACAACGCTACAATCCATTGGAGTAACAAAAATCTCGACAACGGACTATATTCCATAATGACAAGGCTACCATCCATTGGAGTAACAAAAATCTCGAAAACAGACTTCCTTCCATAATGACTAGGCTACCATCCATTGGAATAACAAAAATCTCGAAAATAAAATACCTTCCATAATGACAAGGAAACCATCCAATGGAGTAACAAAAATGTCGACAACAACATACCTTCCATAATGACAAGGCTACCATACATTGTAGTAATAAAAATCTAAACAACAGACTACCTTCCACAATGACAAGGCTACAATCCATTGGATTAACAAAAATCTCGACAACAGACTACCTTCCATAATGACAAGGGCACCATCCATTGTAGTAACAAAAATATCCACAAGAGTCAAACTTCCATAATGACAAGGCTACCATCCATTGGAGTAATAAAAATCTGAACAACAGACTACCTTCCATAATGACAAGGCTACCATCCATTGGATTATCAAAATCTCGACAATAGACTACCTTCCATAATGAAAAGGGCACCATCTATTGGAGTAACAAAAATATCCACAAGAGACAACCTTCCATAATGACAAGGCTACCATCCATTGGAGTAAAAAAAATCTCGACAACAGACTACCTTCCATAATGACAAGGCTAACATACAATGTAGTAACAAAATCTCGACAACAGACTACCTTCCATAATGACAAAGCTACAATCCGTTGTAGTAACAAAAATCTCGTCAACAGACTACCTTTCATAATGACAAGGCTACCATCCATTGGAGTAACAAAGATATCCACAACGGACACTACAAGAAAATTAGTGTTTAACGACACAAAAATTGCGACAGTTATGTGATAACTGTCGTAATTGACATATAGAGACAGTGTTTACGACAGTTGACACCAACCGTCCCTAATATTTATTTTGCGACGGTATATTTAACCATCATAATATTATTATTACGACGGTAAAACAACCGTCGGCCCCCATTTAACACTTTTAACATTGATTTTTCACCAACAACTAGTCACGACGGTAAAATTAACCGTCCTAAAAGGCATATCACGACGGTAAAGCACCCGTCGCACCCTTAAACCTTTCACGACGGTAAAATTATCCGTCCTAAAATTCATTTCACGACGGTAAAACAACCGTCGCACCCAAAATTCAATTTGCAAAGTAAAAAAGAAAAAGAAAAAAAAAGAATTATTTTGTTTTGCACAAGCCACTCGCCCACCGTGTTTTTCCTTTTCCTCGATTAGTCTCCAACTTTTATTTTGAAAAAAGAAAACCCCTTGTCACGTTCATGTGGAAGATTCTCTGAATTCCCTGTCCCTTTTCGCGAGAAAACAGGAAACAGCCAACAAATTGAACTGAAGTGGAGAAGAAACGAGCGAGTCTGTGTTTGTAACTCGTGTACGCTGAGTCAAATCGTTCTTTGCAATGGAGAGGTTAGAGTTGAAAGAGGTTCAGAAACTCGAAGGTCACACCGATAGGGTTTGGAGCTTGGATTGGAATCCGGCCACTGGTCATGCCGGTGTTCCGCTCGTTTTCGCTTCTTGCAGCGGCGATAAAACCGTTCGAATCTGGGAACAGAACCTCTCCAATAGCCTCTTCTCATGCAAGGTCTATTTCTAAATTTCAACACCGTCGTTTATTTTTATAGCGTATGTTTCAATTTTTTTTTTGGATTGTTGAGTAGAATCACTTTTGAATAGGAATTATTGATGAATTTTGTATGTTACCCTACCAATCATTTGAACCGTCATCTTCACTTTGCTCAATCTAAATCTGAAACCTGCAATTCTGTAATTAGGTTTTATGGTGTTCTATTTTGCTGCTCTGTAATCTACATAGAGTTCTACAATCGGTTGTTCTACTGCTCAATTCTGCTACTCGATAATTCAAAACTCTACAATCAATCATTTTTAAGGTAATACTTTTATTTCCTTGTTTGATTCATAACTCTATTTTCTAGGTGGTGAATCGTTCCTTATCTTTGTAGTTTATTGATGCATAAGTATATAATCTCAATTCACGATGAACATCAATTGATTGTAGAAATGCGTTGTTGGATTCATAACTCTATTTGCTAGGTGGTGATTCTTTCCTTATCTTTTTAGTTTTCTAATGCATAAGTATATAACCTTAATTCACTATGACATCAATTGTTCAACAAGATGCCATATTTGACTGCATTTGACTTATACTCTCTTCTTTTCAGAAAAATCTTGGTTAAGTCACTAGTGCCTCACTAACTTCACCAGTTTGAACCACTGGGTAGTTAAATACTAATTCCATTTTGAAGTAAGTTCTCTCACCATGTTCACATTGGTAGTAATTTTATTATTTTTTAAGAGGTAAGTTAATATTTTTGCAGTAGTGTGCATGACTCTAAAATGTCTAAAAACAAGGAAAATTTAGTTTGTAATATTTTGACAGTGTTTGTATGATATTAATTAGTATAAAATTGATTTTAAGAGAGTAAGTAATTTTTTATTATAATAAGTGGTTCTTAACAAAACTCCTTCTACTATTATATGGAAAACATAGGATTTTTTAATAATAAAAACAATAGTATTCATGTGCCTAGGTCACATATAAATATGTGTGTGTGGAACCCGAGCACATCCAAATCAATACAAATACCGGCTATCCTAGAATTTTCTAATCATACTTACAAAATTTATTCCCTTTTTTCTTTAAAAGAAGAATCGTATAAATTTCATTGGAGTAGTTTTTGTTGTCGAGGAACTATTGAAGTAAGTACTTATTATGTATTCATCTTGTCATATCAGAACTAGCATGATGAATGGTCAAATATAAATGAGCGTCAAGTAGTTGAAAGAGCACATGTCCTTGAAGATACCTTCCAAGCCAAAATGGAATGGAAAACATGGTCCGTGATGCATTTGGATATACCCAAAGTACTCTGAATAATCTCAGTCCATCTTCTCTCATATTTCTTTGATGTACATGACTTAACCTTATTACATGTTCCACTTGAGTCACTTTATTTTCACCAGTGGGTTCCTTTCATGTTACGTTATGATTATGAAATTTACTTTCATTGGTAGAATTGATCTTTAACTTTTCATTCCTTCTGGTGTTATGAGTTTCCACTGACTTTTGCACTCTCTCTTTTGAGGGTAAGCTTCTGAGCTTTTCATTTTCCTGCATTTAGGTAAAATTGTTAGTTTACTATTTGGATATAGCGGAATTGATATTAGTGGTATACATAGTGAAAAACCTTGTCAATTTTCAAAGCCTCAAAATATGCAACATTTTGTTCTTCTCTGGCCCTAAGATCTACTCGAATATTTTCATATTGCTTAGCTTTAGAAATTCTGAAAGCCAACCCTTGTTCTTCCAATGTTGTTCGTAGAATTTCTACTAGTTCTGCTAGTGAAACTAGTCCCTCTAACTAATTGTAATTAAAAGAGAATAATAAATGAACGCAGCATTTTCTGTTTCAAATATGAGTATAGTTTATGACTGGAGTTCTATACTTTCAAGTTTGGTGGCAATTTCTTAATGATGATATTGGTGTCCAAAAACGAAATGCAGGCGGTTTTGGAAGAAACACATACTCGAACTGTTCGATCTTGTGCTTGGTCACCTTCTGGGAAATTGTTAGCTACTGCAAGTTTTGATGCCACCACTGCTATATGGGAAAATGTTGGGGGTGATTTTGAGTGTGTCTCTACTTTGGAGGTATGCTACTTCCATGCTTCCGTGAATCTAGTCTGTCTGTTTCTTCTTTCCATTTGGATGTGTATATTCTTTTATCATTGCTGGCTATTTTTTTGATCAGTTTTATTAACTTGCTTTGAGATATATGTAAATTTTATGGACAGGGACATGAAAACGAAGTAAAGAGTGTATCTTGGAATGCATCTGGAACTTTGCTTGCAACTTGCAGTAGAGATAAGTCCGTTTGGATATGGGAAGTGCAGCCAGGCAATGAGTTTGAGTGTGTCTCAGTGCTGCAAGGACATACTCAGGATGTGAAAATGGTGAGGTGGCACCCAACAGAGGATATCTTATTTTCATGTAGCTATGATAATAATATTAAGGTAATCCAGACACTGGAAAAGACTTCTGTTCCTTTAGTGCAGCCATTTTAATTTAATTTCTGTTCCTTAGTTTTACACACTGTGATGACATTATAATGCAATCAAATTTCTTCCAGGTCTGGGCAGATGAAGGTGATAGTGACGATTGGCAGTGTGTTCAAACCCTTGGAGAACCCAACAAGTACTACTTCTTGAACTCTCTCATCAACCTAGATTTTGTGTTTTCTTCTATTTTTAAGCATGATTGTTTAGGTCATACTTTATGTTGAATGACCAATTGTTTAGGTCATACTTTATGCATTCTTCTTGGTCTACCAATATTGAAGGTGAATGTGGTATTTACTGCAATAACTTCAATATGCACAATTGGTTGGGTTGGTGGTTATGCAGTTCCAATATTTGCAAGAATGGTAATGCCTGAGAAGAATTTCAAGGCTGGACCATTTTATTTGGGAAAGGCAAGAAGACCAATTTGTTACATTGCAATCCACACAATGTGTGTTCTTCGTATTTATGGTTGCCATTGGATATAGATATATAATCAATAGTTAATAAGTTACTTGAGTTTCAATTGTAGTTAAGTAGCAGGTGTTGAAGTTGTTGGTAAATGCCACAGTGATATTGGCGGTGTTCAGATTTATTCTGCCCTCTTGAAAGTTGATTGAACAAGTTGCATTGATGGATGCTAAAGAACCAATTTGAACTGATACCTACTCCATGATGTGAAGAATGATCCCAATGAGCTGCCTCTAATAGATACAACAAAATGCAGAGATCTTTCATATGGGGATACAATGAATGTGCCAAACAACTTCATACAATCCACTGGAAGAAGATCACTTGTGCTAAGAATCAGGGAGGTTTGGGGCAAAGAAATCTCATTGACATTGGGCTTGCATCGCTAAACTGGCTTGGAAGTTAAAGAGTGGTGAAAGAGCTTTGTGGTGTGAAATCTCATTGATATTGGGTCTTCCTATCTTAGTCCTTTATTATCAGTTGCATGATTTCATCTTTTCTGATTTATACATGATACAATTCAAAGTCTAAACATTTGTGAAAACCTTCGTTGAAATATATGTTCAATAAAATATGCCATTTATGAAAACTTTGCTGTCACTTATGCAAACATCTGATAAATTTAGATAGCACAAAATTACTTGTATTTGTCCCTTTGGATTTAGTTTGACTGGATTCCATTTTTGTTGAATCAAACAGGGCAGGAACTTCGGGCATTATTCATTCAGTATGGGAGATGATGAGACATGAGTTTGAGTGGGAACACAATATGATGTAATGCTTTATTTCAGGATTATATTATTCATTTGGACATGTATTTATCGTGTCCACTGTCGCTTTGTTGTATGGAATTGTTTAACTTAATTGTTTGCGAACTAGATTCGGGTAATATCGTACGATATTACTTTAAAACAATACTCCAGCTGATTCTATTCTTATACAACACCTTTTATACCCCTTTTTGGCTTCTTTTATAAGAATATTTTTGTATTGATGTTAAATATTTTTTATTGAAATTATTTTTACTATATTACAAAGTGATAGAAAATAAAACAAAAAATAATACTATAAATAAATATATTAAAGAAGAAATAATTTAAAGAAAAAAAGAACACAAAAAAAAACTATATTTAAAATTTTTTACATAGATAATAATTTAAATAAAAAATATATATAATAGAAAAATAAAAAAAATCAAGACATAAACAAAAGTCATGGCGACAGTACCGAACCGTCGCCATAAACAATTTAATCAATTTCAAAAGATATTCACGACAGTATCGAACCGTCGCCATCAATAATTAAAAGAAACTCAAAAGATAGTCACGACGGTATCAACCCGTCGTAAACATGAACGACAGTTTTTGTAACCGTCGCGAAATAGGTTGGGGACACACACTTCTGCGACGGTAAAGCAACCGTCGTGGAAAGCAAATTGCGACGGTTTTAACCGTCGTAATCTACAAAAATACCTGTCGCAATCTGCCAATTTTCTTGTAGTGGGACTACCTTTCATAATTACAAGGATACCATCCATTGGAATAACAAAAATCTCGACAATAGACTACCTTCCACAATGACAAGGCTACCATCCATGGGAATAACAAAAATATTGACAACACACTACCTTCAATAATGACAAGGCTACCATCTAATGGAGTAACAAAAATCTCGAGAACAAACTACCTTCCATATTGACAAGTCTACCATCCATTGGAGTAAAAGAAATCTGAACAACAGACTACTGTCCTTAATGACAAGGCTACCATCCATTGGAGTAATAGAAATAACAATGATAGACTACCTTCCATAATGACAAGGCTACCATTCATTGCAGTAACAAAAATATCGACAATAGACTACCTTCCATAATGACAAGGCTACCATCCATTAGAGTAACAATAATATGGAAAATAGACTACCTTCCATAATGAGTAGGGTACCATCCATTAGAGTAAAAAAAATAACAACGATAGACTACCTTCCATAATGACAAGGCTACCATCCATTGCAGTAACAAAAATATCGACAACAAACTACCTTCCATAATGACAAGGCTACCATCCATTAGAGTAACAAAAATATGTAAAATATACTACCTTCCATAATGAGAAGGGTACCATCCACTAGAGTAAAAAAAATACCAACAAGATACTAGCTTCCATATTGACAACGCTACCATCCATTGGAGTAACAAAAATCTCGACAACGGACTATATTCCATAATGACAAGGCTACCATCCATTGGAGTAACAAAAATCTCGAAAACAGACTTCCTTCCATAACGACTAGGCTACCATCCATTGGAATAACAAAAATCTCGACAATAAAATACCTTCCATAATGACAAGGCAACCATCCAATGGAGTAACAAAAATGTCGACAACAACATACCTTCCATAATGACAAGGCTACCATACATTGTAGTAACAAAAATCTGAACAACAGACTACCTTCCATAATGATAAGGCTACCATCCATTGGATTAATAAAAATCTCGACAACAGACTACCTTCCATAATGACAAGGGCACCATCCATTGGAGTAACAAAAATATCCACAAGAGACAACCTTCCATAATAACAAGGCTACCATCCATTGGAGTAATAAAACTTTGAACAACAGACTACCTTCCATAATGACAAGGCTACCATCCATTGGATTATCAAAATCTCGACAATAGACTACCTTCCATAATGAAAAGGGCACCATCCATTGGAGTAAAAAAAATATCCACAAGAGACAACCTTCCATAATGACAAGGATACCATCCATTTGAGTAAAAAAAATCTCGACAACAGACTACCTTCCATATGACAAGGCTAACATACAATGTAGTAACAAAAATCTCGACAACAGACTACCTTCCATAATGACAAAGCTACAATCCGTTGTAGTAACAAAAATCTCGACAACAGACTACCTTTCATAATGACAAGGCTACCATCCATTGGAGTAACAAAGATATCTACAACGGACTACCTTTCATAATTACAAGGATACCATCCATTGGAATAACAAAAATCTCGACAATAGACTACCTTCCATAATGACAAGGCTACCATCCATGGGAATTAAAAAAATATTGACAACACACTACCTTCAACAATGACAAGGCTACCATCTAATGGAGTAACAAAAATCTCGAGAACAGACTACCTTCCATATTGACAAGTCTACCATCCATTGGAGTAAAAAAAATCTGAACAACAGACTACTGTCCTTAATGACAAGGCTACAATCCATTGGAGTAATAGAAATAACAACGATAGACTACATTCCTTAATGACAAGGCTACCATCCATTGCAGTAACAAAAATATCGACAACAGACTACCTTCCATAATGACAAGGCTGCTATCCATTGCAATAACAAAAATATCGACAACAGACTACCTTCCATAATGACAAGGCTACCATGCATTAGAGTAACAAAAATATTGAAAATAGACTACCTTCCATAATGTGTAGGGTACCATCCATTAGAGTAAAAAAAATAACAACGATAGACTACCTTCCATAATGACAAGGCTACCATCCATTGCAGTAACAAAAATATCGACAACAGACTATCTTCCATAATGACAAGGCTACCATCCATTAGAGTAACAAAAATATGGAAAATAGACTACCTTCCATAATGAGAAGGGTACCATCCATTAGAGTAAAAAAAATACCAACAACAGACTAGCTTCCATATTGACAACGCTACCATCCATTGGAGTAACAAAAATCTCGACAACAGACTATATTCCATAATGACAAGGCTACCATCCATTGGAGTAACAAAAATCTCAAAAACAGACTTCCTTCCATAATGACTAGGCTACCATCCATTGGAATAACAAAAATCTCGACAATAAAATACCTTCCATAATGACAAGGCAACCATCCAATGGAGTAACAAAAATGTCGACAACAACAAACCTTCCATAATGACAAGGCTACAATACATTGTAGTAACAAAAATTTGAACAACAGACTACCTTCCATAATGACAAGGCTACCATCCATTGGATTAACAAAAATCTCGACAAAAGACTACCTTCCATAATGACAAGGGCACCATCCATTGGAGTAACAAAAATATCCACAAGAGACAACCTTCCATATTGACAAGGCTACCATCCATTGGAGTAATAAAAATCTAAACAACAGACTACCTTCCATAATGACAAGGCTACCATCCATTGGATTATCAAAATCTCGACAATAGACTACCATCCATAATGAAAAGGGCACCATCCATTGGAGTTAAAAAAATATCCACAAGAGACAGCCTTCCATAATGACAAGGCTACCATCCATTGGAGTAAAAAAAATCTCGACAACAGACTACCTTCCATAATGACAAGGCTAACATACAATGTAGTAACAAAAATCTCGACAATAGACAACCTTCCATAATGACAAAGCTACAATCCGTTGTAGTAACAAAAATCTCGAAAACATACTACCTTTCATAATGACAAGGCTAGCATCCATTGTAGTTACAAAGATATCGACAACGGACTACCTTTCATAATTACAAGGATACCATCCATTGGAATAACAAAAATCTCGACAATAGACTACCTTCCACAATGACAAGGCTACCATCCATGGGAATAACAAAAATATTGACAACACAGTACCTTCAATAATGACAAGGCTACCATCTAATGGAGTAACAAAAATCTCGACAACAGACTACCTTCCGTAATGACAAGTCTACCATCCATTGGAGTAAAAAAAATCTGAACAACAGACTACTGTCCTTAATGACAAGGCTACCATCCATTTGAGTAATAGAAATAACAACGATAGACTACATTCCTTAATGACAAGGCTACCATCCATTGCAGTAACAAAAATATCGACAACAGACTACCTTCCATAATGACAAGGCTACCATCCATTAGAGTAA